TTTTTTTATAAAAGTTTCTTATCCAGTTTCCAATCACTGGAATAGAAACTAGGGACAAAACCTAGGAACATAGGGCTCAGTCTATAGTACTCTCCAGGTAAGGAAGAGGATCTGAGTTCAATCCCTAGAACCCATGTAAAAAGGGTGGGCATGGGACACATGCTTGCAATCCCAGCTCTGGGGAGGTGAAGACAGGCAGATCCCAAGGGCTTGCCAGTCAGCAAACCTAGAAAAATGGATGAGCTCCAGGCCAATGAGTGGCCCTGAATAAAAAAACAAAGAAATCAAGGTAGATGTTTCCATGACACCTAGCTTGTCCTCTAGCTTCCACATGTACTGTATACACATATAAACATGTACATACATACACACACACATATACACACACAAATAATAATCTAGAAAGAGAAAAAAATAGATAGAAGCCAGAGATGGTAAAGGTGAAAATGATTCATTCTGTCTAGTGACATCTGGGTAACTCTGACCAGGAAGAGGACAGAAAATGACCCAGTAATGAGGGCAAGTAAAAACAGTGCAGGAAAGAACACTTCATGAGAACACTGTAGATAAGAAGCAAGAGCAGGAGCAATGCGGTGGGGGCACCTAAAAGGTATGAAGGGAGAGTTTCCAAGATAGTCTAGTAGCTAAATATAGCCTCTTAGAGTAAGGAGAGTATCTGGTATAATTCTCACATTCTGAACTGCTATGAGAGTAGAGGGATGAGGCTTCACAGTTGAATAAGGGAAAAAGAGAACCCATTTTGGAAAATGTCCGATTTCACTTTGAGACCCAAGGAGAATGAGGAATTTCAGTGAAAAGTAGATTCCATCATCTATAGAGAGGTAGAAATTCAAAGAAGGGACATGATAAAATGTCAGAGAATAAAAGGAAAAGTCAGAACTAAAGATGGGATCCTGTACGGGAAACTCAACAAAAGACAAAGAGGAGGAGGCCGGCCGGGGTGGAACTGCAGACTCCACATCATGGTGGGGATGAAATGACGACCATCACTGTGAAGCACAGCAGTGAACTGTCTGGAAGGCTGAGGACTCATACTGCAGTAGGGAGGGGCATGAGTGTGAGGAGGTAACAGGACACAGCAAACAGACTAATTCATTCTAGGAGCCTTTCATTGATAAAGGGATCTTATTTTTAAAATTTTAATTTCCCACCTACTAAACAGAACTTACCAGGAAAAAACATAAAATTAATTTTCTACTATTCTGCAAAGTTACCCAGGTACTTTAATCACTAATATGTGCATTACTTATGTGTTATCACAAAGTCAACAGTTGTTGAAGACACTATTATTTTACAAAAGGAAATTTTAAAAAGATTATTCCCTAGGCTTTAAATCTCTGAACCTTTAACTCCATATAACACATGTGCTTCCTTCCATTCTTCACGTGTCAACTTAATATTCAAGACAGTTTCAATTATACATTGGGCAAGAACACCAAGTGATTTATAAAAGTTTTTTTTTTTTTTTTTTTTTTTTTTTTTTTTTTTACTCCCTGTAGCCCCAGCTGTCCTGGAACTCACTATGAGACCAGTCTGGCCTCAAACTCACAAAGATCTGCCTGCCTGTGCCTCCCGAGTGCTGGGATTAAAGGCATGCGCCACCATGTCTAGCATAAAACAGTTTTTAAATGAAGCACCTACTGGGCACGGTAGTACACACTTTTACCCCAGCACTCAGGGCAGAGGCAAGCAGATCTCTTTGAGTTCAAGGCCAGCCTAGTATACATAGTGAGTTCCAGGCCATTCAGAATTATATAGTGAGGCCCTCTCTTTAGAAAAAGAAATTTTAGCCAGGCATGGAGGCAGAGGAAGGCAGATCTCTGTGAGTTCAAGGCCAGCCTGGTCTAAATAGTGAGTTCCAAGACAGCTGGGGCTACAGGGAGACCCTGTCTCAAAAAGGCCAAAAAAAAAAACCAGAAAATTTAAAGGCAACAATACAAAAAAAGGAGCCTCTGGAAATATGTCAGTAAAGTGAGCTTTAGTAACTATAAGAATCTACTCAAAAGAAATAATCAGAAAATTAAATAGGGTCAGCAAGATGGCTCAGCAGGTAAAGGTACTTGCCGCCAAACCTGATGATCTGAATTCAATCCCTAGGACTCACAGGATGGAAGAATTGAAGCAATTTCTGCAAGTTGTCCTCTGATCTTCACACCCATGCCATGGTACATGCACACACATAAATAGTAAGTAAGTAAGTAATTAAGTAAATAAATTCTATTTTCAGGGCTAGAGAAATGAGCCAGCAGTTAAGAACATTAGCTGTTCTTCCAGAGGACCCGGGTTTGACTCCCAGCACCCATTTGGTGGCTAACAACCACGTGTAACTCCAGTTCTAAAGAATCCAATACCCTCTTTTCTGGCCTCCATGGGCACTGTACAACATGGATGCACTTGCATGCAAACAATATGCTGATACACATAAAGTTAAAAAAAGAAAAGAAAATATTTTTAAAAGGTATATTTTTTTTAAAAAGATGTATTTAAAAATTCTCTTTTCGCTTTTTTTGGTTCACTGCATGTGTGGAAGTTCTAGTAGCTCCTGTCCATGCTGCACTTGCTGAGAAGCCCTGGGCTTTGGGGATGACTGAAGGAGTTGGCTATTGATTTGAAAAAGGTCATCATCATCTTAAAATGCTGGGCTTAGGATCTTCATGATGTACTTTCTGTGCAGTCTTAGCCTCAGTTTCTGAGGCTAGATAAGGATCCTCTAGCAGCCACACTGGTAGTCATCCTCTACCTGTACCAGGACTTGGGCCAGGCCCAAGTGATGCATGTTCTCTTGCAGTGGTGTCAGACAGAACCAGTCCAGCCCTGCTGCTGCTAATGCCTTTACTCTCAAAAGGAATCACTGAAAGACCTTTGGGTTTCATCTTCAAAAGTAGCCAATGAATTCCAGTGATCAAGGTCATCACAGAAAACCTTGGCAGTTGGTGAAAGTGATGTAACTAAGAACATAAACAAGATGTATATCCTCTGTTGGGAGGCAAAGGGGAGGCAGATGCTTTGCCTAGAAAAGTGTTTCCCAGAAGATTTTCTCAGAAGTCAGCATTTGGGGTTTGTTTAGAAACACAGACTTTTTTAAAAATTAGAAAAAAATTCTGTCTTCACTATTTAAGCCTGGTGGACAAATATTAGTTAAATTGACATAGTAACTCTGCAGAATAAAATATGTATAGAAAGTTATTATCAAGTGAAAAAAGACAAAGAAGGTTGGGTATGGTGGCACACACTTTCAATCCCAACACATGGATCTCTATGAGATCAAGGCTGGCCTGGTCTACATAGTGAGTTCCAAACTAGTTGGGGCTACAGGGAGACTCCATCTCAAACAAAAAAGTTACCTCATCACTTGGAAGAACAGGCAAGATGTCAAGATGAGAACAGCCTGGGCTACATAGTAACTTTAAGACCAATCTAGGCTATAAAATATGACCCTATCTCAAAAAAATATTAAATTAAAAATTTTCAAATCACATTTTAATTTCATTGTAAATTCAAAGAAAGAGGGTTTTTTGTTTGTTTCTTTCTTTCTTTGTTTTAAGTCAGGGTTCTCACTATGTAGCCTTGGTTGGCCTGGAACTCACTCTATAGACCAGGTGGGCCTCTGTCTCACAGAGATTGTCCTGCTTTTACCTCCCAAGTGCTGGGATTAAAGGCATATGCTACCACAACCAGCTATTTATTCTTCTAGGTATAAGCATGGAAAAGTAAGTGCCTATGTAGTAATCGCTGCTTACAAAAATGTAATAAAACACATACCTGGAGAACATAGTCAAGGGCTATGTGTCGAAAGCACTTTCGTGTTGCTGTTAGAATGTTTGTGGCCTCTTCCACCTCATGCTGCTTATTCCTTTGTACTTGGGCATTCTTCACTAGGGCATTTTCCTTTTCTTCACTGACTTTTTCAAATTGTTTCTTGGCATCTTTGAATTTTCTAAGATCTCTACAAAATAAAAATTCAGTGAAACTTTCCTCAGACTTCCGACAAAATAACTTCAGAATTTAACTCTAATGTTCCCTCATTTATTTGTTTCATCATACACTGATCGCCTCTAATTCAACTGAAGCATGCATTATTTCCCAGCTCCTGGTTACGTACCCTTCACTTGAAATGCTTGGGACAAGAGGAGGTTCAGACCTGGGAGTTTCCTGATTGAGGGATATTTATATAGACTTCCAGTTTTGCACCCTAATCTGAAAACTCAAAGCTGAGAGCTGAGAAAGTTTCAGATATGTAGCATTTTAGATTCCCAATTTGGGGCTTATTTGTATTTTTACACCCTGATAAAGTGAGCGAATATTTCATTATTTAAATCTATATAACTCAAAATGGAACTAGTAATCAAGTTAATAGAACAGAACAGAGAAGTAATTTTTTTCTAAAGATAAATTCAAAGACATATATCAACATTTAGCCAGATGATTTTTTTAAACAGTGGTCTATATAAGGCTCACTATTTTTTTTTTAAAAAAAAGTGTACCAAATGCAGATTTGAAGGGCCTGTCCCAAAGATTAAATTTATTTATCTTCAGGATAAGTGTTAGGAGTCTGAGAGTTATTGAGGGACATGCCTTTGATTTGAAGAAACAACACTCATAAATTTATCAAGTTTTTACTTCATCATAAATTAACCTGTAAATCACAGCTCTAGGAAGGCTAAGGAAGGAGGAGTGCTGATTCCAGGCCAGCCTGGGCTACACAGCAAGACTCTCAAAACAATAAAAACAATTAGTAGAAGAAACAATTTCCTGCTAGAAGTAATTACTAGGTCAAATGGCACAAAGAACATGAATAAAGCAAATCTTTTTTTTTAATATTTTATTTATTATTTTTATTTTAGGTGTATGAGTATTATGCCTGCATGTAGGTAAGTGCACCCATGTCGCTCAATGCCTGCAGAAGACAGAAGAGGTTGTCAAATCCCCTGGAACTGGAGTTACGGACAGTTGTTAGCTGCCATGTGGGTGCTGGGATTCAAACCCGGGTCTTCTGCAAGAACAGTCAGTGTTCTTAACCACTGAGCCATATCTTCAGCCCCTAAAGTAAGACTTTAAGCATATATCCACAAATTTTTAAGAGAACTTGACCAATGAAGACCAAAAAAAAAAAAAAATCCCTTTAAATTGTCTGAAAATATAAAGCCCTTGATTTCTTAGTGATCTTTAGACAATATTCTTTGATATTATTTTTGAAATATTTTTTAATTATTTTTGTTTTATGTGTATGAATTTATTGCCTGCATGTAGATAGGACACCTGTGTCATGCAATGCCTGAGAAATTCAGAAGACGGCATCAGATATCCTGGAACTGGAGTTATGGATGGTTGTTAAGACACCCTATGAGTGCTGGGAGTGCTCTTAACCACTGAGTCATCTTTTGAGCCCCCAATATTACTTTTATATATTAAGGAGTTACACAAAATAACTTGAAGACAGATTATTTAATTTTAATAAAATATATCTAAGAAAGGCTACTTATTTATAACAGTCACAAATTTTATATATGTCTTCTATGAGAACGTACATTATTATAAAGTAATGTGTAAAAAACATCTGTGAGGCATCATTTCAGGATAAATTCTAAACTACTGGGCTGGGGTATAGCTCAGCAATAGAGCCCTTGCATAATATATGTGAGGCCTTAGGTTCCACCCTCAGTGCTCTCAAAAAAAAAAAAAAAAAAACAACCTCCAAAACTAAATACTAGAAACAGAAGAACATTATTACATTAATGATAATCTGACACTACTTCTAGATTATAATGCCTTACTTATCTTTAATACTATCATCATTATTAGCTTGATATTTTATATATTCTCAGTCAGGAATTTTAGGATAAATTACTAACGTGAAAAAATAAAATTTTCCTAACTTGGAAAGTTTGGACTTATTCCTACTTCAATTTTATTTCATATGTAGAACATGATGAGTCTCACCTCAAAGGGTCATGTGTAACAGAAAGTTTCATTTCTATGTTCATTCTCATATGTTTTACTTTCTCTTCAAAGAAAATATCCCATTGAGAATAGGCAAAACTTGGTTTCAACCTACAATAAGTATTTTAACCATGTTTGGGGTTTATTTAATTTCATTTTTATTTGCATTGAGAAAATTTCTGGAGCCTATAACCACCATAGCTATATATTTTAAAAATCTACTCAGGGTATAAATAATACACCAAAAGATAATCTGATTCCCTCACAGAGTAACTCAGAAAGATATGAAATCTACATTTCACAAAACAAAGTGCCAATATTTTCAGAAATCTGTGACCCATAATTTTTTCTCTTTTAGTATCTTTTCACCACTTCCCAGATGCAACCATTAACTAGCTATTTTTCTGTCCTTTTTACTGCAGTTAACTTACTCTTTAACAAAGTTCTGAAGCTGTGCCTTAATTGATCTCTGAGTTTGGTCAAACAGGATCTAAAAGATAAAATATAAATTGAGTAAGTAGGCAAGTAAACAAAATAATTTTCTTGTGGTTCTATAAATACTACATCACTTCATCAATTCTTTTTTTTTTATTAAAGACCATGAAAGAAATAATGAAAAAAAAAAAAACAAAAACACTGAAGACAATTCTATCAGTCCCCCCAAATAGCTTGCTTCTCTTTACTAAAGAAAACCAATTCTCTTAAATGTAATTCAAACTTTGGAAGATAACCTACCAGGGAGTAATATCAATTTCAATCTCTATACTAGGCATTTTTTTATGCTAGTATATGGAAGCACTCAAGGTAAAAACAACTTCAGAACTGCCCAACACTATAGCCAAGCGTTATTCACTAGGAAGTCCCGGAAACATAAATAGTGGTTGTGCTGAATTCAAGTGAACATTACATAGTTCTAGAGGTTAAAATACACCTAAAACTAGAGATAAGAAGCAGATCTCACTCTTCAGAACAGTATTTTGTCTGTCTGTTATGATGTCCCATGCTCGACACTGAGGACTCTGTCTATGGAAATCCAAGCATATTTCTCAGAATGACTTCAGATTCGAAGCTTGAAACAGAGTGAGATCAACAGGGAAAAAAGAAATAATATACAAAGCAACAACCAAAAATTTGGGTATCAATCTAATTTTAAATGGCACATTTAAAATCAATGAAACCAAAACCTGATTCTTTGAGACCATAAAATTGGTAAATGTAGGGAAGACCATGTTGAGAAACCAGAAAGGGAATGGGTCCCTATCAGAGAATTTTCACAAAACAGGATTGGTCTAGAAAGCCCCTCTAAAAAGAAGACAGGTCAAATTGCAGGTGGTCAGCTGGTGATGTGCCTGAATATAACCAACCAAAATTAACCACAGCAGGAGCTGCTGCCCAGTAAAATCAAACTTCAACCAGTCAGGACTGCCTTCATTTACATGGAGGAAACTGCATGGTGGAAATCTCATGGTGGGCAATGTAATCAAAGCAGATGACTCTAAAATAGCCCTGCCCCCATGGCCCACTCTCTCAGAGGCAACCATCATGTTACTGCAATGCCCACTGTGCTCTTCTGGTATGCACAATAAACTTGTATTTTTCTACTCTGGTCTGAAAGATGAATTCTTACATGGATGCACCTAGCCTAAATAACAATACGAAAAAATGACACAAAATTTGGATATTAAGGAGTTCGGTTATGACCCCACCATAGGTTGTACAGATTCTAAAATGACAGTATTGAGGTTGGGAACTAATTTTAAATCATTAAATTCAACAGAAGAAATGGACAATTTTTTTTAAAGACAAAATCTACCAAAACATAATGAGAGGAACTGATAACTGTAGCAGAATTTAAGAAATAAAGTATGTAATTTAAAACCCCAATACTGTTTAAGGTAAAATTATACTTAGATAAAAATCTAACAATCTCACTCCTAGGTATTTTACCCCCAAAAAATTAAAGCTTAGGTTCACACAAATACCTATTATGCAAAATATTTGTAGCAGTTTCATTCCTGATTGCCAAAAAATGGAAACGACCTAAGTGCCCTTCAACCATGGATTAGAAAGACATTAAGTCAGTCATAGAAAGGAACAACTATCAATGCATACAAACACACAGATGAATCATAATACATTTTGCTACGTAAAGTAAATCATATTCAGAAGACCTCACAAGCCATGACTTATTCGGCAGTTAGGAAAAAGTAAAGCTACAGAAATAGAAAACAAATCAGTAACTTCCAGCGGAGGGAAGAGAAAGGGTGGTGCAATAGGTGTAAGGCGGGGCAGAAGGAGGGTGGCTGGGTGACAGAAACGCTACCCAGCTTGACTGGAGCGTCAAAACACAACATACGGATGGATTTATCAAAACCCAGAAAACTATATGCCATAAGAAATCAATTTTCTCACATTTAAATTAAAATATAACTTCAAAATATGAAGAACCAGGGTATAAATATGAGGCAGGAGTGGTGGTATGTAGTACAGCTATTGCTCTGAGCTTGAAGTGAACATCTCCACCAAGCAAGGCTGCTGTGGTGACCTACAAAACACCTACCACAAAGGCACAAGAAAAAAAATCAGCTGATAGCTATTAACATTCCCTGAGGGAAGAAGAAGGAGAATCATGAGACCCTTGCCTGAGATTCCAGTCACCACTCCCTCCTGCCCCAGCTGCCTGTGGTCCTAGAAGTGGTAAAGCACCTAGGAGGTGGAAGGTCAACTGGGGGTTGGGCCCTTTGACTGATGTAGCTGCCCAAGACTCAGCCCATACTCCTGCCAGTAACCCAGATAAACTCAAGATTCCCTTTGGTTTGTCAGTGTCCTCTCTATATGGGGTGAATAGGCATTTCTTTAGGTCTCCCCAGTAAAGTCCTGCATCAGGCTACAGGCTGTAATCCTAGCATTCTGGAGAACAAGGCAAGAGATCTCCAGTTTGAAGTCACCCGGGGCTACACAGTGAGAACCCACAGTGGAAAAAAAGCACATGCTCACACAAACACACAAAGTGTAAGTACAAACCAGCAGATTTTTAAACAAATTAAAAAGCAAACAAATTGACTAAGTCAATCAAAAGGAAAGAAATATAAAACCTATGTGTCTCAGAAATACTAGCAATGTTTATAAAAACTGACCCCCAGAAGGGCATAAACCAAAGCAGGAGCAAGGGATCACACACACAGCATGTCTGGGGGCCTCAACGGATAAAGTTATACTACAAAGCATTAAGAGAAAATGGCTAACACAGATAGCAATGCAAATGAATCTTAAATTTCTATTCCAATTTCATTTGTTCATTCTCCCTCATCCCTCTGCAGTATATGATCCTGTTTATATAAACTTCTAGCAAAAGTAAAACTAGTTAAAATCAGATCAGCACTTACATTTGGGTGTGTGGGTTCGGTATCTGACAAGAGGTACAGAAGAAACTTCTAGATAATGTAATGATCTAAGGTTTTTTTAAAAGAATTTGAGTTACAAAACATACGCATGTGTTAAAATTCACTGGCTCACATAATTTAGATTTTTGCATTTAATTGTATTTAAATTTGACCCCCCAAAAATGGACAAAAGGGGCTGGGGATACAGCTCAGTTGGCAGAGCGCCCACCTAGCATGCAAGAAACCCTGGGTTCCATCCTTGGCACCGCATAAACTAGACAATCCTTGTTTCAAAAGCAATCCCTAACTCTTCTCCCCTTGAGTATGGGTTAGACACAGTAACTTGCTTCTACCACACAGTAATATGGAAAATGACCATGTGTGACATCTAGGTCATTTAAGGTACTGAAGTTTTCCTTGCCCTTGCTCTTAGATTACATGCTTAGAGAGTAATAGACTCCGTGTCATAAGAACATTCCAAGCAGCCCTGCAAAGAGGGCCGTTGGTGAAGAAGTCAAGCTTCTGGCTAAGAGCTAAATGACTGAAATATCTTTGAATTGGATCCTGTCAGCCCCATGTGAGGACTTCAAATAACTGGAACCCCAGCCCCAACACCTTGGTAGCATCTCATGAAACACAGAAAGCCAAAACCACCCATATAAGCCTCTCCCAGATTTCTGGTTCAGAAAACTATGAGGTAATAAATGTCTGTCACCATAAGCCATTAAATTTTAGGTTAATGGTAATACAGCAATAAAAATAATATATTCATTAATGAGCGGACATACAAATTGTGATATTGTCATACAATGTAACATTATTGAACAGCAAAAGAAATCAAGTACTAATACACACAATATGACTGAGTTTCATATTAGAGTGAAAGACACCAGACTCCCTACATTTCCATCTGCAAACAGTTCTAGAAAATGAAAATTACTCAATTATGACAGAAATCAGGTCAGTGATTAATGATTAGGAATAAGTAGGATGCAAGAAAGAGAGAAGAAATTACAAAGTAGGAAAAGAAAACGTCAAGGGTGGCTTCATCGAGGTACAAATATATCAAAGCTTACCAAAATTTATAGCTATGCAATTTATGTCAACTCTTCCTCAATAAAGCTGTAAAAAGTAAATAAATTCCAAAGGAAGAAACAGAACATTTTTCAAAACTATAACATTACCATCCATCCTCCAAAATACTGCATTGCCCAAATTAAATTTTACATACATTGAAATAGGAAGAGAAGGAGTCCAGGAAACTCAATAATCTAGCCTGTTTGCTTTTCTAAAACTGGGTTTCCCAGAGTAGCCTAGGCTGACTAGGAATGGGAATTCATTATGTTGCCCAGACTAGCTTCAAGCATGCAATCTTCCTGCCTCAGCCTCCCAAGTGCGGGGATGACAGGCATACATCACTACCCACAGCTATGCTGTACATCCTTACAGTGAAAACACTGTTATTAATATATGGGCATGAATAAAAACTGTCTTCTACTTGCCATTGTCAAGGCGTCCAGTTACTGAACAACCACGTCTTTCCCAGGCTGAACTGCTGCACAGAGCTACCTCAGCTAGTCAGCTGGTGTTTCTTCTCACTTTCTAGTCAGGAATCAATAATACCTTGCTAAGATAGACACTTCTTTTCAAATGGCAAAAGTAAACTATAATAGCCCTAGACAGAAAGCTAGGGTTCACTTCCATTTCTGGAAATTTAACAGTCTTGCTGCCAGCGTATCACAAATAATAAAAAGTCATCTGTCATCTACTAATTACAAAAGGATTTTACTAAGGTACAGAGAATATAAACTTTGACTTTAAAATCAGCAGCTCACAGTCAAGCTATTTCCCATCCATGCCTGGGCCTAGTTAAAGCAACATTCCCTCTGCTGTGCTCAGAAAAAGATGAAAGCAGAGATGTACTGCATAGCTGACAGACAATTCACTCCAGAAAGTTCAGCAGAGAAAAAAGGGCTAGAGATCCACAAGTAGTGTCAGCCCCACTTCCGGCTCCTGTCATTCACCTATGTGTCACTGACTCCGAGACTATGATTTTGAGTTCAAAGTCTTTATAATACATATTGTCCAGCAGCCACTAATTCTCTTC